GTGCGCTTATTGTGAGATGGTGACACATGGGTAATTTCTGGCCTTTGGATCGCTACTTTTATGATGCATGATATAAATATTGCACAGTGGAAGATATTTTTCAATCTTCTGTCTTTTGGAGTTCTTCGTTTTCTTCTTGGTTCTTCTAAGAGTCCATTTTCTATAGACTAGGGTTTGAGTCTTTCGTGTTCTTCATCTCTCATAATGAACTTGTAAATATTGAGATCATACTTGTCGGTTAACCTCTGTAATTTGTTATTGTGAGCGATTGTTGTGAGATTAGGGTTTTCTTATAATCGCGGTTTCAGTTGGCTGTCTATGGAGTTTCTTTGTGATTCCTTCTAGATCTGCAGTATTGTGAAAGAGATAAGTGTATTGTGCCTTTTTCTCTTGTATTTGGAAGAACTACTTGTAACTTGTTACCATTTTGGGCTAATTAGTGCAATCAAGCGAATATTCATTACTTGGATGCTTAACGGGGGATGTAGGCATTGAATTTGGTCGCCGAACCTCCGGGGTTTAGACCAAAACAATTCTCTATAATCAATCTTTACTTTTCTGCAAAGTTTATTTTCTGATTTTTTTGGAATCTTGTTTTACTATCGTGTGTTTGGGCCTTTACAATCATGTTTTCAAGTTTTGTCCCCTATCTTAGCTCCGGTAGGATATTGTTAGATATCATTTTGTGCTTATGAGTTTCTTTCTTTTGTCTTAACTGCAATTGATGGTTGGGACTTAGAAGTTGTACACCGGAGTTCATCGAGTAGTATTGTGTTTCTTGATTAGGAAAAGTTAAAATTGTTAGAAACAATTATATAGTTAAAATGAAAATTATGAAATAATCTGATTTATTTAATTAATTTGCTAATTTGTTTAAAAAATAAAATAAAATAAAATTATTTAAGTAATTCAATATTTTAAAAAAATATTCTTATTTGGTTGGTTTTTGGTCTAGACCCGAGACCCGACCCATATCCATCGATTCTCGATTCGGGTACCCGTTCGGGTATTTAACTTATGAAGAACCGCTCGATTCGGTACGGTTCGGTTCGAGACTTTTGGACACCCCTAGTGCATACTCTAGTAGTTCAGATGTTAACAAGAACAAGAAATTACTCAGACTCGGTCAGATATGTTTTGCTAAAATGGAGCGGGTTCTAGATGAGATGGATAAAGTAAAATTCAGTAGACGAAGAGAACATGGTGGATATTGGTACAAGGCCTACTCCAAAGAAGTAAACTTGAGCAGGTTTTAGGTATGATGTTCAAGCAGGGTTATGAAATTACTTGGGATACATGGAGTTCTTGATAAATTTTTTCTTTGAACAGCACAAGTATGTTTTAAAATACCGCGGAACAACTAGGCTAACAATGTTCAAGGCTCATCCGATTGAATCCATCGAATTCAAATGTACAGTTCTCCTGTATAATCCTACCTTTTATTAGATGCCCCCCTCCTTTTGATCGTCGTTGCTTGATTATAGGTTATTAGACTTTGCTGCTGATGAATGAAAGTCGAGGATATTTTCCATGCGCTATTTTTCATCTCTATTGCTGTTGAGGCTCGAACATGTAATCTATGATGTGCTCCCAAAATTGGCTTAAAATCGTGTTCTGCTTAATGTGTTTTTCTTAAGTGGTGCGCTTATTGTGAGATGGTGACACATCAGTAATTTCTGGCCTTTGGATCGCTACTTTTATGATGCGTGATATAAATATTGCACAGTGGAAGATATTTTTCATTCTTCTGTCTTTTGGAGTTCTTCGTTTTCTTCTTGGTTCTTTTAAGAGTCCATTTTCTATAGACTAGGGTTTGAGTCTTTCGTGTTCTTCATCTCTCATAATGAACTTGTAAATATTGAGATCATACTTGTCGTTTAACATCTGTAATCTGTTATTGTGAGCGATTGTTGTGAGATTAGGGTTTTCTTATAATCGCGGTTTCAGTTAGCTGTCTGTGGAGTTTCTTTGTGATTCCTTCTAGATCTGCACTATTGTGAAAGAGATAAGTGTCTTGTGCCTTTTTCTCTTGTATTTGGAAGAACTACTTGTAACTTGTTACCATTTTGGGCTAATTAGTGCAATCAAGTGAATATTCATTATTTGGATGCTTAACGGGGGATGTAGGCATTGAATTTGGTCATCGAACCTCCGGAGCTTAGGCCAAAACAATTCTCTATAATCAATCTTTACTTTTCTGCAAAGTTTATTTTCTGATATTTTTGGAATCTTATTTTAATATCGTGTGTTTGGGCCTTTACAATCATGTTTTCGAGTTTTGTCCCCTATCTTAGCTCTGGTAGGATATTGTTAGATATCATTTTGTGCTTCTGAGTTTCTTTCTTTTGTCTTAACAGCAATTGATGGTTGGAACTTAGAAGTTGTACACCGGAGTTCATCGAGTAGTATTGTGTTTCTTGATTAGGAAAAGTTAAAATATCTGCCAATATTTATGTAATGTATTCATTTTGTAAACCTAGAAGCTTTCCAGGTGTGGAAGACCCAAAATGCAATGCAATCCCAGGCTTCATTGTACGTTCATATTTTATTAAGAGTTTAGGGACTAGGAATGACACGATTAGATTTTAAAGGGTTGTCACAGGAATTATATTTTATCGAGAGTTTAGGGATTAAAATTGCAATTATAGTTATAGCGATTAGCTTCAGTTTTCTATGAAAATTGGTATCCACGTGAATTGACTTGACGTCAGTTTTCCCTCTGGTCTCTGTCTTTTATTCTTACGCTCCTCGCTACATCAAGAAGACATTGAGCATATCTTTCAAGCTTCAATGTTACTTTTATAAAAAGTAAATTTTACTAATTACAAAGGTGATTTTGAAATTACGTTAGGACAGCCAGTCTTCACAAATACTTTGTGTGTTTACCAATAGTTTTTTTTTTTTTTTTTATATACTTGTCGAAATACAAAATCCAATATTTTATAATAAAAATTTATATTCAAACTATTCTGATTAATAATATTAAGAGAGGCATTCGTAGATAAGAATGAAAGTGTGAACGGGCGGACTATTGCACACCGTCCCATCAATGTAGATTAATGCCTAACAAGTGATATGCTGACAAAACATTTTTATTTAACATAATAATCTTGTCTTAAGCAAATTAATACCATTAATTAATTATGACAATGACTTCATCTTGTCGTGCTTATTCAAACCCTAGACCAGCTCATCCAATTAAAGGCAAACTATAAGACATTACAAAGAGATAATTTAATAACGAGGAAACAAATTCTAGGCAAAGACCTAGAAAGTCAATTGAAACATTTGTTTTATTTTATGTATTTTGTCCGAACTTAGCTGTTTTTACCATTTAGTGACACTAGTAAAGGCAATCCAACAACAAGAAAATAAAAGTGGTCATTTTGAGTCCATGTACATCCATAATTTCCAACCACTACTAGAAGAGTTTGCGCTTTGCAATCATAAAAAAACAAAAGCCACATTTGATACGCAATATCGAACATGATTCGACGGATAATATTGATATCATAAGAATTGGATCAAACTGGCATCCTACAACCAGAAAATCGAGAATCGGACTGGCTACATATAAAAAATGAAAACTTGAAACACTCAATAATTTTTTTGGTTCACTGCAATTTCAAACAAGGATTAGAGAATGATGCTTAAGAAGACGTACTATAGAAAGGATGACTATCGAGATAGATTTAGAGCTTGTTTGGGAGGAATTAAAATCCAATTAAAATTGAAAATATATTCGTTATTGGGTCTCACTCGTCTAATAAAAGTCAACAATAATGGCTAGTTTTTCGATTTAAATCTCTACCACACACACTCTTAATTTATTTTTATTATCGGTTCAACTATTTACTGCTAATTGTTTATATTTTTCTTGTAAATATCTAAACGTATTGAAAACTTTACCGGTGTCAATATCCAAATTATCGAGAGGTTTATTTTTCTTGTCAATTTAAACTACTTCGTTTTTCCATTAATGATGTTTAGTACAACATAGTCTTAACTTACCGAACGTGTTGAAAACTCGAAAGTGTTAGTTGCTATTTACCCCCAACCCCCTCCCCCACATACATGATGTACTACCTAGAACAAGCATGCCAAGAATTAATCAAATCAACATCAATAGATTGTGAGATCCGTTAGGACTCATGTCTAATCATATGTTTCTTTTGCAAGATTGTCTTTTGGTGGACAGGGTTTGGTTTTAGCCTTGGGGTCACAACGGGGTTCAATGGTCCACCACTTCACTACACTGTTCAGTTTCTACCAATGAAAAACACCACTTCGGAGAAAACAAAACAAACTGTGAGCTTGTCGCCTTTATGGTGGTAAATTTGAGGAATTAGTTATTCATGTCAATTCAAAGTGGTACCTCAAGAATAAGTATCGACTAAATTCACGTCACCAACTAATCTCTAATAGCTTACACTCTTATACGATATGGTTCAAAGTCTGCACACCACAAATCTTCAATTTTCGACTCTCATTTCAACTCTTAACAAATACAAAATCGTGATGTTCAATTAGCATAAAACTAGAACAAAACCATAAATAAACAAAAATTTTATATATTTCTAGAGCACAAGTATAAAATACAAATTTCACAACATAATGGATTTCCTAATCCATGTTCCAAATTAGCATTTATAGCAGTAGCCTAATGGAAACAAACCATTTCAAGATTACCAGAAATCTGATGTGGTAAGTTTCTTATGTAGTTCAGCAAAATCTATAAATAAGTTACAATGCTGAGGTACCACAATAAATAATCTTGTGATATGGATCGACTTCTCGACCGAAGAAGACGAAAGCAACCAGTACCCGGGACATGCAAAATCCTTGTATTACCACCATGAATGACAAGTTAATCACAGCAGGAAGAAGTAAATTAAATCTACACAATCATATAACTACACACCATTACTGCTGAATATAGCTATAGTAAAATGTCAAACTTCTGTTATATTTGTTGCCCGTAATCGAAGTTCAGTAATGTATTAACAGTTAGAATGGATGAACTCTCGAATCTCGTCCACGAGGCAACAGAAATGGTCGTTATTGGGCAAGAAGTAAAAACCGATGGTTGCCTGTTCGAGATAAAGAAGTTTCACTTCTTTGCCAGATTCTTTTAGCCCTTTGACGTAAGCCAATTGCCAATCCTGAACAAGATCCAGCCCAACCACAACCACGAGGCTCTTTGGAAAGTTAAGTCCATCGAGGCTTTTACCTCTAGGGCCGAATATGTTGCACGCTGGATGGTCTCTATCTTCCCCTTCGGGTAAATATGCTCTCCAATACCAATCTCTGTCTTGAACCGTTACAAAGTATTTCCCATCCAATCTTTTCTCCGATTCAGTTCTCTTTTCCCCGCCAAACATTGGATGAAGTAGGATATTACCCAATACATCCACACCCTCGGTTGCTGCCCGAACAGCTACATGATGAGCGATATTACCACCGGAGCTATCACCAGCCAAATATACATGAACCTTTGAATCCTTCCCACTCCTTAACCACGACCTCGACTGAACCCACTTAAGAGCAGCCCATCCGTCGTCATACGCACACGGGTACCGGTGTTCAGGTGATCGACGATAATTCACGGATACTACGGCAGCATTGCAAATTCTAACAAGCCTACGACAAAATGTATCATATATGGCACTATTGGCTGAGGAATGAGTAAAGCTTCCACCGTGGTAGTAGATAATAACAGGAACAATTTCACTAGTATTTAGGGGCTTTTCGAGATCTATGATCCCCCATTGAACTTTGTTTTCTGGGGCAGGCAAGTAAATCCGGTTAAGGAGGCTCGTTGGTCGATCCACAACATCAAAAGAGTATACCCCGTCCACCGGAATCACATTTGCGGGGATTTTCCGGTCAAGGTACTCGGCCAAATCCCGGTTAAAGGTTCCATCCGGCCGACGAAGCATATTATAGGCAAGTTTGAAATTGGATATGAGGATCCATGTATTAAGAGGAACAATCCTCTGCAAATAAAGAAATTCAAGTGTTGATTATAAGTTAATCAATCGATTACAGCAGACAATAACCTAAAACGTCAATTGAGAAACAGATTCATCATATAAACATAGGTATTAGGCACCTCGCATCATTATCAAGAATCTATTACAGGAAAATTCTGGGGAAAAAATCTAAAAACATGCATACACATTAAAGGAAAGCAAATGGAAAAGATAAACAATTCCAAACGACAAGAATAAATTCGGCTGAAAGTCAGCTAATAAATCAGTACCAAGTCAAATAAAGATGTAGAAAAAATCAAAAGAAACAAAACTCAAATCCTCACAACCAAAACAGATTATTCAAACTTCTGGAGAAAAAATCAAAGCTTTTTTTCAAAAACATGAACTGAAACGCGTGATTGATTATGAAAAGGATAGAGAAAACAGAGAAATTTCTACGACTAAAACGTCCAAAAAAAAGTATAAAGAGTATGCAAAATTGCCTTTGATTCGTTAGCGTTTACATCATTACCACCAGCCATGAGAGGTCGTTGAAGAATCGATTTACTGATAACTTTAATGGGACAGTCTGATCTTGAAAAAGATGAATCTTTGAGTTTTATACATAACGCCTTCAAACCTCTGCTTACTGCAAGAGTATATAAGTTGATTGACCCTTCTTTTATTCCCTCTTCGTCTTTGAAGAAAATAAAGAAAGACAGTTTAAAAATATTCAGTGATATATAGAAAAAGATATGGGTGTTATTTGTGAAGGAGAGAGGGAGAAGAGTGAGAAACCTGTTCGGAATATGGATATCTAGAGAGAGAAAGGGAGAGAGTTTTAGAGAGATAAAATGAGAGAGTAGAACGACGGAGAGGACGGAGACGAGAGAGAGGACAAACGGGGCGGCCAAAATAAACTGTTAATGTAGGCCCCACAACTTATAATTTATTCACTCTAATTTTTTCTCTTTATTCTATTCTGTTGAAAATACACACATACGCGTGTATGTGTGTGTACGTAGGCCCCATATTCATGTCATGTTATTTAATCCCTGTTTGGTAGAAATTAATATTTTGACCACGCATTTTCACAATAAATTATTTTTAAAAAACTTCTTGCTTCTTCTTATTTTAAAATTATGTAATTCATTTAATTTTAATTCTCGTCTAATGTTATTTAGTGTCACCTAAATTAGTGTTGTCACACCATCAGTATTAAATAGTACACTCGTGAATAGAACCGTCTAATCGGGATGAATCACCTTAATTTGAATTTTTTCTCTAGAGATCGTTCTCTCGTGTTTTTACATTTTTAAAAAATGAAATTTGAATTATAAACGGAATTCATTGAAGATTAAGTTTGAACTTAACCGTCTATTCATTATACATTATTGTCGGTAGACCGAAAAAAGTTATTTACATGCCACCTAAATTTTAGTCCATTGAATGCATTGAAATTTCTAAGCATATAAATACCGTCTAAACATCTAGAGGATATACGGATAAAAAGTCAAACATTAGGTTAAAAATTAAAGCCCTATTTGGGAGGGATTAAATTTTTCTACAGTAAATCAATTCTCATTTTCAACCACAAATTTTTCAATAAAATAATATTTTCCATCACATCAATAATTTTTTCTTCTTTTTCAACCACACATTTCCCATCATACACTATTCAAAATCAATTCTTCTTCAAAAAATCTCTCTCAAACAATNTCAATTTTTTCCCCAAAAATCTCTCCCAGACAAGCTCTAAATAAACTATTGAAATATTTTTTTAAATTGTTTAAAAGATTAATAACCAATAAAATTGAGAAAAATGATGGATCAATAGATACGTTGACTATTTTATCAATTTTAAATAAAAGGTTTTTATTCGAGGTACAATCTCATTTGTTTAACACGTCATGTCATGTCATGCCCGCTGTTGAAAATAAAAAATAAAAAATAATTAGATTAATTGAATAAGAAAATTACTTAAAATTGAATTTGATCTTGACATAATATTATAAGAAACTAATTTTCATGAATTTTAAAAAAGTAAAAGTGAAAAATTTGATCGTTTGTATCCTAATTTAACCATACGGTCGAACTTAAAAAAAGGTGTTTTTGAGACGAACTCTTATAATTTTGTAATACAATATTGCATTAATCAACATGCCACGATTTCAACTTGAAAAAAATTATAATTTACATATTTATTTTAAATAAATTAGTGGTGAGTGTTATTTGATTTTCTTGGAATTGAACGTATCGAATACGTCTTTTCAGCTCAATCTTGAATCCACTTCATAGTGAAGACAACTAAAGACCTTTATTTTTTTGGTTTTATTTTGGGTCACTTTGTTCAATATTTGTTCTCATACCTTGTCTTTTGTATTTTCTTCTTTTATACAAATGTCCATAGAAAAAGACATGTCATATTGTCTCTTTTTTATTTTAGCTAAAAAAAAATTGTAAAAATTTAAGTCAAAGTCAATAATTAATTTTGAGCACGTATTTATTAATTTTACTAAAATCTAATTTTTTTTATCAAAATCAAACTTGAACGTTACATTGTCTTGTGTGCATCGCTCGAGAGTCTCTCTACCTAACGTATTTGCTTTAAACACTCTTAATCACTTGTGATTTAGTCCATTATCATCCCTTTTCTTATTTGGGAATATTGATTTAAGGCCTATTCAATGTAGATTTTTTAATAGTAAATTTTTTTTAGAATGTGTGATTATAAGTAAAAAAAAAATTATGAGTTCATATGTAAAATTATTTATTTAAACAATGCGTGGTTAAAAATGAGTTTGAAAAAATATATTTAAAATAATATGTACAAAATATGGGGCATGATGTGAATTGTTTTGAACTACAATTTTTTCAATAGATATGTTAATTTTTAAAGTAAGTTAAAATAATAAAAAGGTAAAACGATAGTGCATGCAAATATAGTTTACTAATTTTAAATAATATTTTATAAATTTAACCACACTTGACTCAAAAGAATGGTAATTAGCACATAACGTCCTTACCTTTCATTGTTATTGTGAAAAACGTTCATACCTTTCATTTTTTTTTTTTGGCATTTTTACCCTTATTTTTCACATTTCATTGCGCAAAAGGACTTTTACACCAATTTTTTCAATTAAAAATTATGAAATGACGAATACACCCATATCTCTAAAGAAATATTTAAATAATTGCAATTACAGTCCCAATTTTGTTTAAAAACACAAATAAGTCATAAATAAATTATTAAAGTAGTAATTAGTACATAATGTCCCTATCTTTTACCGTTATTACGAAAAAGTCCATACTTTTCATTTTTTGACATTTTCATCATTAATCACACATTTGATTGCGCAAACCAATGAACCATCATTTCTATCAATTTTCATCCAATTTCTTGATAAAACCTATGAAATGACGAATATGCCTTCCTATTTAAATAAAAAGATAAAGAATTAATTGCTATCATAGTCCCAAATTTTTTAAAAGTGCAAACAAATCCCCAATAAATTATTTTAAAATTTTAATTTTTTAAAAAAATGTAAACGAGTTCCAATTAAATTTATTTGAAAATTAAAAATGGAAAGGAGTTGCAATTAATTTTTTCTCTTTTTTTATAGTTTTATTTAAAAAGAGAGGTATATTCGTCATTTCATAATTTTTAATTCAGAAAATATATGAAAATGACATTTTGCACAATAAATGGTGAAAATGCCGAAAAATGAAAAAGTATGGGCGTTTTCCACAATAACATGAAAGATGAGGATGTTATGTGCTAATTACCATTTAATAATTTATTTGTGACTTATTTACGCTTTTTTAAAAAAAAATGGGACTGCGATTGCAATTAATTTTTTCTTTTTCTTTTTCTTTTATTTAAAGAAAATGGTATATTCGTCATTTCGTAATTTTTAATTGAGAAAATATGTGAAAATGAACATTTGCGGAATGAAAGGTGAAATAAGATTGAAATGCCAAAAATTGAAAGGTATGGACGTTTTCCAAAATAACAATGAAATGTTTGGATGTTTTGTCTTAATACACTTGTCAAAAAGTTCAAATAAGTACAATGGAAAAAAGATTATGTAAGGTTGAAATAGTCAATGCAGCTGGCTCAAAAGTTACAAGAAATAATCTTTCAGCTGAATACTTTTTATAGTAAATATTAATATTTTCAGAAAATTTAGAGTGACTTACGTAACTATATTGCTACATTTATTTTCATTGCACAATATAATATAAATTCCACGTGTCTATGCTACAATATTCTTCCTTTTGATAATGCTAAAAATGAATAAATAAATTCTGTAAGCATCCAAAAGAGTTGTGTCCTTAACATCAGTTCCAAATCTTTCATTTTATTGTAAATTACACCCCGATCTTTCATTTTTGCAGTTGCAGTCCCAAACCTTTATATTTAACTGCAATCACAGTCCAAATCATCGGTGCCGTCCATAAAACCGTTAGTCAACGTTGAAATAGTAATTTTGACTCAAATGAACAACTTAAGTGAGGGGCAAAATGGTAAATATAATATAACAATTCAAATAATAAAATAAAAATCAACAAAAAAAAAAAAATCATCTTCATCAAACACCACACCCCAACTCATCCATTCCAAAACAAATAATCACCACGGACTACCGCCCCAATCTATACAACGCCGCACCGACCACCGCAGCCACCGTCTTTTGTATAAGCACCTTAGTTAGAGAAGAAACACACCAAAATATTGTAGCAATGAGATCAATAAATACGAACAAAATCAGGATCAAACTTGAAAGCTTGACCACGTGATCGCTGTCCTCAAATAATATTTGCCCCCTCTCTAATAATATAAGATGCTTAAAGGTTTTTCCGACAAATGGTTTGAAGGATTATTAAGCCTTGTAGGATTAAATACTCAAGCATTAAAGTGTAATCTTCAAAACTTGAAGAACACAAATGAAAATTCTGAATATGATGAAGAATCAGATTTTGATCTTTGATTTTGGAATGATATATGAATCTCAAGTGTTTTCATACATTATTTCCCTTGAGCATGGATCCCTTATATATTAGCATTGACTAGAAGCGTGAAATAGTGCCAAAATTTGAGTGAAAATCCATCAAATTCAAAAAATAAACGGTAAAAAATGGCCTCCAATAGTCCAAAAAGTTACTTTATGCGACTGCATAAAATACCTATATGCGGTTGCATAAAGGAGCTCGAAACAGGGGCTTGAATCCCTGTTGATGGCCATGCGGTCGATGGCCATGCGACCGCATGGGCCACAAATTCAGCCATTTTCTCCTCTTTTATTCCACACGTACTTTATTCGTTTTGAACATAATTTCTCAACAATGTCGTTGCTAGGACCCTCCAAATTAATTTCATGTATGTCTTTAACACTATGCTTACTAGAGTGGTAGTGGTGGTGGTGACTGTGCCGGAGATGGAAAAGGTGGAAATATCGGTGTTAAGGGTGAGGGATATTAAACTGGTGCGATAGGGAGATGACTGGTGGCAGAGGTGAATAGACAGGTGGTGGTGGAGAGA